TGCTGTTCCTTAGTGAACGTGGAATTTGCGAACGCTTTCGACAGAAAGGCGGGGGAAACATACCACGAATAGAGTGCTCTTGTTTTTTTTGTTTTTAGCGGGAGAAGAAATTTGGTCAACAAGATGGGCTCACCGTAGGCTTTCGCGGCGCCTTCGCCGGGCGTGGTGCAGCTTCACCCCCTCTTGGCCCGCTGGTGATCGCCGCCTGCACAGGATCCGATGCAGCGACCTCAAGGTCCGCGTTGACACGCGTTCTCTTCACACCAGCAGCAGCTGCGGAGGGATGTTGGCGCCTGCTGCTCTCTGCTCGTTCCCGAATCGTCTCAGCGTGCTGCTTTCCAACGGCAACAAGCTCATCGTTGCCTGCTACGAAATCCGCGATACTCGCAACACGACTCCTCTGCGTGCCCTTGTCCAGGAGCACAGACGTCAGTGTATACCCGGTCCTGGTCTGTCTCCATGTCTGCTTGACTACTCTGTCCTCGCCGCCGATTTTTATCAACCGCTCGCACCTCGCAGATTTTTTGGTTTGAGGGGCATTTTTTTTCTGATGCCCGCCCGCGCAGGCTGACAAAAACACACGCCCTTCACGGGTGGGGATCGTGTAGGACGGCCAAAGTAGGGATGTCCTCTGTATGTATTTCGACCCAGCGGAGTGCGTTCTCGTTCTGCGTTTGGGTTGAATCGTGTTTCTTTGCCGTCATTTGGGTTCCGCCGCACAAAAAATGTTCGAAAAGTCGAGTTATATTATAAGATATTTTTTTTTCCAAACGCATTTCGGAACCGGATTCCCACGGTACGGTATGCCCCAAAACCGGTTCCCGCTTTTTCTACCGACGGAAACTGCACCCGCAAAAGCTTCGGGCACACGATCTCGGAAGGCGCCACGGGTAGGATAGGTGGCTACTGCGGCGACGGAAAAAATGCTGTATGCTGTTGGGATCATAAACACGAATAAAACGAAGATACTACTGACAGGGATCCATCCCGGATCGTTTTCGGAGAGGAGGGAGATGATGACAACCCCGAAGAGTGAGACCCCTCCCGCCTTTTCAAAGCTGTGTTGGCAGAAACAAACCATCGGAGAGAACCCCACCGATGTGTGTGTGCACCATGTTGTTAATTTCCCGCAAGGAGCACACTCAGTGTGGCACACACCTGAAGTTTGGGGGGGTGGACTGGGGCAGAGGGTCCGAGACGGTTCTCGGCGCTTCTCCAGATCGGATATGTGTGCTGCGCAACAAGAACAGGAACGTTCTAGAGAACAGAACCTCTGTGACGTTGACATCATCTCTGGGTTACCAGCAACCAGCGCCCCCCCTCCGGCGAGGAGTGGCGGAGTGTGCGGCGCGACAGCTAAGCAGGTGAAGGAATGCGTTTCAGTGGTGAATTCCTGGCCATTGTCGTCGCCGTGATCTGTGGTTGTTGAGCAGGTGCGTGCGTATGCGTATGTGTACGCCAACTTCAATGATGACTGCTGTAGTCTACTGCTTGTGTACAGTCAGCACCGAGGATCTCATCTGCTGTGCAGGTCCCAAGTTGCAACTGCTGCGGGCTTGCAGATTATTTCCTGTCGGTGCACGGTCGTGCGTGTTCGTAACCGAGCATCAAATCCAGTCTGGTGTTATATCAGTCACCGACGCAGAACGGCTGGCCGATGCCGAGATCTGCACAACGATGCCGCACTCGGCGAAGCTCCGTTTCCTGTCGAGATGATGAGCCCCGCTGATTATAGACCGGTGCGCAGATACGTGATCATGCCTCACCACCCTGGCACCTGGATGAATGCACTTAAAAGTTGTCCAGTTTCCCCCTTGTTCTTTGTTCCCCTATCTAATGAATCCATTGCTGTTCGGCTACTGACTGTTGGTGCCGTGGTCGTACACCCAATCTTCGCGACCTTTGGCGATGCTCCAAAGCGCGTTTCGTCGTGCCAGGAAATTCGAGACTCGCATACAATAGCCGGGACAAGCCATGGCGCAAAGAGCAGCCGTGATGGCGTGCGTGCTTTATTTCTTCCTTTTCATGGCACACGGCTGTGTCGCGCCGTTCATGCCCCTCATCTGGCGATCCAAGGGACTCTCGGGTGAGAGGATATTGCTGTGTACAAATTTACTACTACTTCTTGCTGAATTTACCAACTACCGATCTATCATTAGGTTTAGCCGCGACAGGGTGCTGTAGACTGCTGTCGAGCTTTCACAGGTGCCGTATGTAGACTGGTCTCGAGCATCAGGACGTACGGAAACTGCATGCGAGGAGCGGGGATACTGCTGCCATTCATTCTCGAACGTACCTGGCAGACTCGAATGGAAGAATAAATCGAAACCTGTTTGCCGAGACCGGCGCTCATCGGCAAATTCCGAGGTTCAAGCCTCTGGTAAAGCTGCCGATCAGCCTCCAAACTCAGTGACATGCACACCTCTCGAAGTTAATACCGACGTCGCTCCATGGGAAGGCTAGTGTCACCTTCAACGAAACGTTGGCAGTAGTGACACCCTGAAATACCTCTCCTTATGCTCTGCCTAGACTAATGTTGGTGTCGTTTTGCCTTGCTGCTGTTCGCTGCCCACCGAGAGAACCAGAGCACCAGGTCGGTATCTTGGGAGCGATTCGACCCGTGGCCTCCTTCTTCGTAAACCCGGTCATGTGCGCGTTCGCAGACAGGCATAGCATTCACCAGCAGGTGCGCGTGTGCTGTGTCAAACCATCGCAGCACTAGGCCTGCCATGTGCGTTTCAAGTGACGCACCCACACGCGTGTATTCGCCCGGGACGACCTCGAAGCAGTCTACGGGTCGTGGGAGGTTCTGAAGCGCTGCTGTGGGACTCGTTTGAGGCCGAACAAGGCAAAGACCTCGTCAAGGCCAAGTCTCTTGGCCATGTGCATGGCCAGAGGTCGCCCCGGCTCGTGTATTGTACCAAGTATCTTGCCAGCCAGCCCCGAGTCTGATGACGTTGCGCAAAAGGCGTGCGCGTTTCATGTCCGGGTGGGCTCGCCCGATGTGCGCGGAACGTGCCTCTTGTATATTGTTGGCGGTCTACAGTCTCTTGGCGAGGACTGCTGACAGGTGTGGTTGTTAAGCCGCCTCCCCCATCGCCCACGATTGTACCGCTCTACGTCGAACTGCTCGTTCATGTGTATCAGGATGGTATCTTGACGCATCGTCGCTTGTTTGCATCCCTCCTGTTCCGTGGAGCGTCGAAAACTCGTGTTAGCCGAGCGGTAGCCTCATCTCTGTGCAAGGCCATGGTAGGCTCTCCGATAAGCACCCATGAACGAGCCAGCAACTGTCCGCCTTCCGACCCCTCCCCCTGGCCCATCAATGCGAAAACCAAGGTGGTCTATACGGCGTTGTTTTTGTACGTCGTCACTCGACCGTCGGTGCTTTTCGCGGGAACGTTCTTGGCGGTGGCGGCGGTGGAGGCGTCTTGCTCCTTCTCGACGAGTCCCATCGGCAGCCTCATCGACTCGTCAATTAGGCAGGCCTTCGGAGGGGACGGGTGAGAGAAAAAGCATCTATCAACCGGGAGCTCTCTGTTTATCTGCCTTTTGGACAGAGAGCTATGGGAGATGCTCCGTACGCCATCGCGTTGGCAGCAACTCAGTCGTAGAACCATTCGCGAAACACCTTGAGGTCGTCGGCCTGCCGTATCTTGTCGGAGCCAGAGAAAGCGACGACCACCAGTGAGAAGAGTGAGTGCAGTTGTGCTGTCGTGCTTCGATACCCCGCGGCGGTGCCCGAATTCAGAGTCTTTCACTCACCACTTACTTCTGTCGAAGGAATAATATTCTATTTTGTGTTTTTTACAGAGTTCGCGTTCTAAAAGTTTTAAACCGTACCACCGTCTCTGAAGGGTAATGCCAACAGACCTTGGATGACTAGGCTATCCGAAACAAGAATGGGTGGCTATTCGACGTGACTGGCGCAAGTCATGGTGTCTGCGCCAAAAGTTTGGGACCAGGGCTGGCTATTATCTTAGAAAGCATGAATAACCCACCCTTTTGATATCCTGGCCGCGTGCTTTGCTTCCCAACATGTGCGGTTCTGTTGTTTCATGACTGCGCAACATATCTAGAGTAACCCCCCCCCCCCCCCCCCCCCCCCCCCCCCCCCCCCCCCCCCC